AGTAGGCCGAACTTCCTGAGCTGGCGCAGGTTCAGTGTCATTGTAAACATAATGTTCATTTTATGTAGCAAAGCAGGTTGGGTGTATAGCATGGCAGACTTTCAGTATTTTCCATATCCAGAATCCAAAACAAAATGCTTTTGTTTAGTTGTCTAACTCAAAATAAGCCTTTCACGGACTAGTTTGCTAATTACCTGCATCTGTCATGAGCTAAATGCTAATGATAGCATGCTAACACTGACAATGCCAACATGCTGATGTTTAGCATGTAAGCTATGTTTTGCTCACTATATCATGTTAGCAGATTGGATTATTTCAAGGGAGAGCAGACGTCTTTTTTACTGCTCCTCTTGTCTGTTCTACGATTTATCACATCTTCTACATTTTCAAGTCTTTGAACAAATTCTACAGCTATTAAAATGCCTCCAAGAGGGAAAAGGGCTAATAAATCAGAAGCAATCGTGGCTTTCAGAAAGCTAGTAATCCACTGACAGACGGGGGCAGGCACAGTGAGCTGGAGTGAGGTGTTGCAGGATGTAATGTAATCAGATTACAAAAATAAAACAGTATAATCGTAACATTTTATTGATCCCTGAGAAATTCACCAGCTACCTAGTAGTAACTGAAATTATATGCATAGAGGGTAATTAAAATTAACACTATCTTAAATGTTATATACATTATTTTTTCCATTGTGGTATTGTTACTTTTACTTAGGTAGGCTAAACAGTGCCCCCAACACACACATCATTAGAGGTCGTACTAAGACTGTAGGGCAATAGTAAGGACAGGTTTATGACTGAGTTTGGCAGGACGGGGGCGCTTGTGTTTCGGTTTGGTCAGACCAGTCACAAGATGCTGTGAAGTAAAAAAAAATTGAAAGCGTCTCTACCATTCAGAGCGGCAGCTACTGCTTCACAGAACATTTAACTCTGCAACAATGGTGAGTTGTCTAATGCCATTGCGAGAGTTGTCGGTATTACCGTTTCAGCTTTGTAACCATGTGCTCTTAAATAACGTGAATTTCCGAGGATAACTGACAAAAAGTAAGGTTGCAGACTGATAGCGTTAGCCTGCTAGCCTAGCATTAGTGCCACCCTCACTGTGAAGTTAGTTGAAGAAGCAACTGCCGTTTTCTGGGTTTGGATTTCAGAATAAAATCACCGTGGGTGAATAAACGTTGATTCGGTGACGACGACGTTGATCTTCACTATTTACAATCAATTTATCAATAGTTCAGTTGTTAAAACTCTTTCCATAAAATGCTACAGTCACAATCGTGGTAACTACGCTTACACCACGTGTATTAAAATTTGTAGAATATTGGTTGCTATTATTTTGAAGGGCATACTAGCGGGTTTCCTGTTGTAATGTAGCTATTTGTGGGTAGTTTGTGTTGGCAGTGATGTGTTTCAACACGTCTTGTTTTTGGGGAGCTGCCTTAACGTTAGCTTGCCGTAAGCACAACGAATAATGTTTCTCTTCGGATTTTTGATGCGTGTCATCACAACCTAACTTTCCAAAGTGCTGCCCAATATTGAGGGCAGTGTTAGTGTCGCATTTTAACATATGAACTGCATAGTTTAAAGTAGCTGACTAATATTTCCTGAATGAATTAGCAGTCAAACTAGCGTGCTAGCTGCCAGAGGCTGGTGGAATTTAAACCAGAAAACCTATGGCCACCTCCGGCTTTCTTCATTTTCCCCATGCATCCTGTTTCCAATCACAGACACTCAAGTCTCTTCTTAATCTGTGAAGATCTCTGTGAAATCTGACTCCCACCAGCCATCTGCTCAGGGAGGGTGTATTTATAGAATTCAGATATCTTAAAGAGTTTATGCCTGTGTGCTGGAGTTATGTAATGTTGTGCGGACGTGACATAGTGTCAGACCAGCAAAATCATGTTGAGAGTGGTATATTCTTTTCTGGGGTCAGGTTGGACTCCTCATGATAGTTTAAATGGTTTAATGCTAACTGTCAAGTTACTGCAATAGACAAGCAGGGCATACGTTTGGTATTAGAAGTGGGATGGACAAAATGAATAGCAGCTGTAGCTAAACCTAATGGCATGAATTCATGGCCTTGGTAATATTTTTATGAAAATGGGGGTTTAATAACATTTAAAGTGTTTACACTCTGCAATTGCATACTCACAGTAACATGAAATACCAGGATGTTCTAATATTTGTAGAGTAAAAGCTATAACATTTGAATAACAAAATAAAAGGGCTTTGGTTGTTGCTAACCAAATTTACAATAATTGTAATTGAATGGTTGAATGAACAAATAAAATGTTGCTTTTTAATATTTAGAAGAAACCTCTTTAAAAAATGTGTTTTGCTTCACACTGGCTTGGTAATCATTGCTTTACATCTAAGCACCAAAATGCATGAAAACCACTTAAATCTGCAGTCTGGAACAATGCATCTGTGCTCCACACATATAAAGCTTAAGCAAATATCCTTCACATTGTGAAGCATAATTAAACATAACTTATGCAGCAGCAGATTAAGATGCATGGCTCTTTTATTAATATTTTTGTAAGTATAAGCAGCAAAACATGACAAATTAAATATTCCGTTTGCCCATGATCTCTATATGGTGTCGTTTTTAGTTGTAAGTCACAAGGTTAAGGCTTTGGTTCATCAGTTCTGGACAAAGATGGAGCAGAAAAAACAATCGTGGACAATGGTTTGTATTGTTTATGAATATGACATTTAATTGACCAGATGGATATTTTGTTTGTTTTTTTGTATCAGAGTGAATCACTGGTGGTGTGTGATGTGGATGAAGATCTGGTTAAAAAGTTGAAGGAGTTTCGTTTCCGGAAGGCGACCAATAACGCGGCCATTATCAGTGAGTACTGGAAAAATATTTGATGTCAGTTGCTCTTTTTTTGCATGGTTACTGTGCATATTAATTTGTTATTATGACATTACGGAGTGCCATTATTCTTAGCTTTAAATTTTGTGTTACAGTGTGAATCTTGGTTTTTGCCGCAGCAAAATCCTTAGAAATTTTCAGAAAAGGGTCATCTCCCAAAAATTCCCTTCCTTCTTTAAAGCCTAAGCCTAAAGCTAATGTTTATGGGGTAAAAGAATCATTAACACTTGCACCACCAGCAGATTGGTCACTGCTGTGTGGAACAAAATGGAGGCCAGTGCACTGCCTCTTGAAATCCCTGAATCAAACTAATAAGCACTTAAAAATTGTGCAGCTGCTTTGTCCACTTCAAATATTACCACCTCACATATTTCCAGAAACAGATTTCAGTTTCTAATTAAGCTGCCATGTTTTTGCAGTTTGAAATCTAGTGGCAGGCAGTTCTCTTCACTGGCTTTCTTAAAGATATGCACTTTTTTCTCTCCTAACCACTCCTTTTAGAGCTACTACCATTAAACTAAGTGTCCATGGTGCTGTTGACTGAAATATTTTCTATTTTGATTTTTACTCTTCAGTGAAGATTGACAAAGACAAGCAGCTTGTTATTCTTGATGAAGAACATGAGGTAAGTTTTCCATTGCACTGTCATTATAATATGGTGTACTTTACTCTTGTGTCTGCACATAATGCAGCTTTCACAGTTTAAATTTAAAGGCACCAAACTCAAATCTTTAGAAATTAAATTAACACAAAACTAATGGGTTTTTAAAAAGTGATCATGAAGTCATTGAACTACATGTGGTTAAACTTGCCTCAGTCTTACAGTTTGTCAGCTGTTGGAGATTAATGGATAGCAGCTTGTCTGGATAAGGTGTAACTTTTAGACAGTGCACTACAATAGAGAAGGTGCAACTAGTCATTACATGTCTGTTTTTTTAGGACATTTCTCCTGATGATCTAAAGGACGAACTGCCTGAGAGACAGCCCAGATATCCTTTGACTGAATTTTAACAGTATTTAAACTATTCCTCTTCTCAGTCTGCAACATTACTGTAGCTTATAATGAATTGTTGGAGGTAACGGTTCTGATGTCCTCGCCTTCCTGCAACATGTCCAGTATTTTTAAATAGTTTTAAGGTGGATTTTTGCTTAAAGCAGATAATTTTAGGTTATAGTTTATCTAGTTTATTCTGTTCATTCTTGTGGGTCAGGTGACAAAGCCACACTTGCCCACCCTCAATAACACAACGGCGGTGGCCTTGAGCAAGGCCCTTAACCCCCAACTGCTCCAGTGGAGATGCTCAGTGGCCAGCAGGTCAGACTGGTTGTACTGGGCAGCTTCCAGGTCAATGTGAATGTTTGTAACTGTGTGAATGGGATTATGGTGTTCCTGCAAAAGAGAAGTGGCCCCTCAGAGAACCTGCCCTGTCTAAATAAAGGTCCTGATGTGAAAGAAGTGACCTGTCCTTAGCACCAGATACATTTGTCGTCTACAGCTATAAGTACCAACATGATGACGGACGTGTGTCCTATCCCCTCTGCTTCATCTTCTCCAGTCCAGTGGGTAAGAACGTCCGTGCCATTATACA